AAATGAATAGATTTTATCTCACTTTTAACATCTTGTACTTATAAAGTCACTTATACTAACGACTGAAATGTTCCAGTATACCTTAAACGCGTTTTAAAACAGGAAACATTCTTATTCTTCAAGTTAAATAAAGTATTAAACTAAATATTGAATTTAGCAATGACCAAATTGTCAAAACAGATATATACTAAGTGGTGTTGTTTGAAGAATTTATGCGTTTTGTTTGTGATTAAAGTACCACATGTATATATATATTTATATATAGTTGCTAGCTAAATTCTCTTTATGATGACATCAGCCAAATTTTGTCCATAAATATCTCAGTAATAAAAGTCTATATACCGGTAAGGATAGGTATATAAATTTCCGATAGACTTTATATCTACACATGAGAATTGATATACAGTAACAATGTAAAAATAGATCATATTTGTAACAATCGTTAGAGTACACATTCATCTGTTACAAACAACAATCGTCTCTCATCGCAATAGGTAGATTAAACTAGGGTAAAGGGTTTCAGTTTTGTTTTCTATTTATTTGTTATTTATTTATTTTGATATCGTACGATTTCGTTTCGATAAATGATAAATCCACATGGTGACCATGCCTAAATATAAGATTTCGTTTCGACAGATATCCTCATGATTTGGTAAATTTATTTTCGGTTTTGATCAAGTGAGTATTTTCCCTTTTGATTTAATATCTCAATGAGATTGATTACGTGTCTCGTGTGAAAAAAAAATATCTGCGATATTTTTTGTTTTCGTTTGTTTTGGTTTTGTTTTGTTTTTGTTTTGTTTTGTTTTTGTTTTGTTTTGTTTTGTTTGTTTTTCTTTTATTTTAGTATTATTATTATTATTATTATTATTTGTATTTCACGTTTATCTATATCCCCGCACATAAAGTATCGCAATGCTACAATAAAACTAAAACATACATATATACAAACATATATATATTCCACCATCTCCATGCTTTTATCACCAAAATCAGTTGTTGTTTAAATTTCGTTCCAAATTTTTCTTAAGTTGCATTTTACACTTTTAAACAGTCCGCATAGTGCTCGTGCATCGATCCCTTGTTGATCTCATCTCTAGAATCTATTACCAGGGGGCGCCAAACAGTGATTCTTGCTAACAAATATTGATCTACTACACTATTTCCGTCATGGAGGTCCCCAAACTAAATTGGAATAGTTTGATAACATTTCCTTCAGATGTAAGTGCAAGATAATTTTCTACACCATAAATACACTTTTCACATATATGTAACTGTTATCTCGATTTACGACATCCGTGCAACAATTTAATTGAATTGTAAAAGGCATAAAACTACATGGTTTCAAAAATATTCAAATTTTAATACATCAGCTCATCATTTTTAACAATTAATCTGCACCAAACTTTTTAATTCGATTTGTTTTATTCCTAAAAGTATACACAAAAATATAAAATATATGTTAAACTTGTTTGTGAATCTTTATTTCTTTTCCATATTTTCCTGTAATCAATATCACTTCTGTCCATTTATTAGATAGACAATTGCGGAGTAAATATTACTAGGTATTGACTCCGAATGCCATGTATATTTTCAGACGGGAAACCTTTCTCATGATGCGTACTTACAATATAATCACTACCCTATATTAAAGGTATCTCTTATTTAGTTATTTCATATGAATATCTGGATATCCACACCACTTCTATAAATAATTTTGAGATGTATTAATGTGTATTGTGAAAATCGTTGCTCTCAAATTACAGCATAGTAATTAATTGATATTTGTAAAGTATAGAAAGAATTAAGAATTTTAACAAAGTGAGATCTTGTACAACCAATTATTAGATTAAAATGGAAGACATCTATGTAATTAATATTGAAATGTTACATACCTTAAACTGCGCGTAAACTAACTTGTATAACTTTTCTAATCCAGAAAAAAAAACAAAAACAAAACCGTGTTCCAAATTAAGGAGCTGTGCGCAATGAATTGATTAAAATATAAAAAACGAAAACTACAATATTTTACAAAGTCACAATTTTTATTAATTATAACGATTCTTTCTTCTTAAATCATACAATTTCAAGATTCTCGCTAAACAGGGACAAAACGAATTTCTACGCGAATACAACAGTATACAACTTCTAATTCACCATTCTCTCTTACAACTTTAAAAATCGTACTTTCCCCGGTACTGGATTCAAATCATTGGTTTTAGATACATATAAAACATGTCATGTTTTTTTTTCAGTGAAAACTAATATACCGTTTACCTTTCAATGAACTATACATAGTCAATGAAGAAATCAATATTTGGTGTTGTTTCGTATCTATGGAAAATGTAGGAGTAAGCAAACATTAATTATGTACAGTCATTGTTTAAAAAACGGTTGTGTTTAACAGAATGGCAACAGTATGGTCTATTTTATCAGAAAAAAAGTTCAGTTAAAACTACGTATTTTTATAGAGAATTACATCTCCATTCACACAAAAATAACACACATACAACTTGCTTCTTTCAATAATTTCATTCAAATCCATACATACCTAATTCTTTCGTGTCTTGCACTATAAAATGTGTTGTCAATTACTTCTCTATTTTCTCAAAGAATACCGAAAATAACTCTGCATCCATTTCAACATCATTAATATTTCTAATGTAAACGAAGATAAACAAACCTACATCTCCAACACACTGGATAAGGATTATCAAGTGGTCACCATCAGCGACCTATACAGAAAGGTAATATATAGATCTCCGATGAGACAACTTATTTGGGAAAAAAATACATCGTTTTGTATTTCTTCGTTCGTCAAGAAAAAAATAACTTTCAACACATGTATAAATAACTAAATTCTAAGCAGGTACTATTTTATTCCGCGATATCCATACGCATAAGTGGGCGGAGCTTATGAGCCAAGAGATGTATCGAATTTTTTGATTGGCTACCTACCAACAAAAAGAATTCTGCCTACCTCTATGTGCATTGGAGCGTAGTAAACACAGCTGTGCCGTGACTCAGCTTTTCTCGGCCTCCAGTATCTTTGGTTTAGGCCGATAGTGACATAGTATGTATATAGATATATTTCTTTTGTTTTGCAGAATGAGTTCATGTTTTTAATTTTTTACCGAGACGTGAAAAAACATTGTAATAGCCAAGTCTTTACTCGTGGCCTTCACGTTTAATTATCTTTCTGTGTGAGAGTGAATAAAGAATAAATGATTTTGAAAGCTGAGCCGGTTATAATATATTATATTTTTGCGTATTTTGTAGAAAAAAGTCAACAGTAGAATAGTTTACCTTGATTTATCAGATACTAACCGATAAGAAGTTCTGTGGTATTTGTTGGAGCATGAAATGAGCTTTACTATAAAACCTTTAGTTGATCAAAGAGAACTAAATGAAACAGATCAAAACGATAATAAATAATTTATCAACAGCAAATACATTCATGACGAGCTAGCATCAAGTTACTTTTGTATATTATTTGTGGGGCGAAAGAGAGAAATTAAATCTTCAAAGACGAATTTCGAAAAAAGAATGAAGACAGATATTTTTAATGTGATTATCTGCTATAGAGACATTGAGCAGTCGATTTTAATGTAATTGTAATAAATTTTCTACAATTTCGTCGTATAGTTCAAGTTTAATATACAAACAGACTGTTCAGAATTTAGCGATTAATTTTTTTTAACTAGATACAGAGAAAAAGTATTGTCAAGTAACTGCGTAGAAGAATGTTTCCGATTTTAAAGTAAACATATATTTTGTTTATAGAAACGACTTCTTCCTCGAAGAAAAGTAAAGATGTAAATAAAAAATAGAATTAATTTTCGTTGATGATTTGTGTATGGGTTCACATTATCATGTTTATCTATTTCCACACGAAAATACTAAAAATATCTTTATTTAGATTTCTGGTGAAATTGACGGTCTATCTCTTTTATTGGCCAAATCTGAATGGCACATTGTTTAAATGAAAAATCATGTTTCTGAAAAAAAAGATTCATCGCACATTTTTACATTAATACAGAATCATATTTTGTATCGGTAGCTGACTTGAAAATTAAAACAGGACTAAACATATTCATCTGTCATAAGTGAAAATCTGACCTTACCAGTTGTGTGCGAAAAAGCTTTAGAATGAGGTTTAGCACGGGACACTTCTTTCTTGGACAACTAATTCACACCTGAAACCTCTCTGGATGTAACCTACGAAGGTTGAGATGAAAAGGACAACAGTGAAGACGAAAACACTCCACAATCGTCAAACGGGAAATGATTAAAAAAAAAGCACTGTCACAATCTATCAGCCTTCTTCTTGCTGACAAAATTCACATTTGTAGAATTATATTACAAGAATAGGTACACATAATTTCATCCAAGTTCATACCAAATATATATCAAGCGGAATTTTCATTTCATTTTATCTTTTGACATTTTTCCCCTTTCTATTAAATTTGAATAATTTATTTGACACTGGCAACATTAATGAACTACATACTCTTTAGTATTCAAAGTGTAACGACACACTTAAATGAACGACAAAAGACTTTTAAAGAAAACCGATGTATTTTAAGAGCAATCTGTAAAGAAATGTGACGTTCAAATCAGTCCTGAATGCACACATATTATTCTTAAAATATATTTGGTAATCATACTTGAAACTTGGATGGATTATTGTATCTGGAATTCTTGACTTTTGTTTACCCTATATAACCATCACAAAGCTGTGCACAATCCTGAGTACGTGTAAAAAATACCGTACCGATGTCAATAAGCGCACATCACCCCTTTGTTAAAGCGTACCGCACGCTTCATAATGAGTGCATCTCACCTATAACACAATGGGACCAGAAAGATGAGCAAAAATCGGGAGTTCGTCTCGTTTCTGTAACCGTCTTTTTACCCTGAGTAGAATAATGTGTGTTTATTTTCATATTTTTTTCGTTCTCGTTATATCAAAACTCTGCCAACAATCACACTAATATCACTTAATTGGAATAATTGTTCTCGTCCGAACTTGGGCTCGCGCCAATATTTGTTCTTTCTGAATCTGTTTCAGGTTTTGACCTATCTGGGCCAGTTAATTTTGGAATATTGTTCTCCTTTTTCCATTTCATTCGTCTATTCTGGAACCAGATCTTAATCTGACGCTCCGTAAGTCCTAGTAGATGTGCGATCTCAATCCGCCTTCGTCTCGTCAAATATCGGTTGTAGTGGAACTCTTTTTCCAGTTCAAGAGTTTGGTATCTGGTATAGGTCTGGCGCGTTCGCTTCTGCTCATACGTTACTTCTGCAAAATAATTAAAACCTATATTTTAGCAAGTTAAGACTGTTTTGAACATGCGTGAAAAAATACCTGTAAATAAACACATTGATCATCACCATGCTAAGTATAAATATTTAAAAATGATTTAATACTATTGTCATAAATCTTTAGATAACAAATAATTTTTAAATAACGATAATTTATATTTATAACAGTGATATATATATTGTGTCAGGCATATCAGTTTTTTGACCAGGTGTTACAAAATATTTAAATGTTAAAATTATATATACCTTTTGATTGAACATATCTCTATGAAATATATGAATAATCAAACGTTCGGTTTATTGAAGTCATCGACGGGGTCTATCAAACTGAACTAAATACATGATATTAACACCGTAACCCTTGCCAGGTAGCACCACAGCACACGTGTATAGGTAGAAAGAAGTTTATCGTCAAATCAGGACAATTTACATTATACGAAAGCGGAGCTAGCGTTTTTCGTAAATGTATGCTTTGCTTGAGGGCATTTTCTTGGTCTCATAGTGTCTACACTCCCTCGTTAACTGTAGTTTATTTGCCTGATATTATTAACCATAAAAACGAGGTAAAATATCAATTATTACTGACTTTATAAACCTAAATCATGTGATAAATCTGTTTAATTTTGGCATATAAAAACACCTGTGTTACGCTGACAACATGTAGAGTTTGAAACAATATTTGTTATCCTTATAGTTTTTCATGTCTAGAATTTTCCTACTGAAACAACTTCTGAAGGTGCATTTTACAAAACACATTAAAAAAGATATATTTTGCCACAGGTCTCGAGAATTTATATAAAATTCTTCATTAAAAAAAATTAAAAAAGATGTAATAAGAATATTTTACGTTGAATTGCAACGTTTCCCATCGATGATAAAATATCTGTATTCTGCATTATGAATACAAATGAATGATACACTACCTGAAGTTGTCTCTCAGCGGTGTTTATAAATTAGCATTAATGTAAACAGGTGTCGATTTTAGAAATAAAAATCACGAAACTTCCATGTAGGCAATATTGTCATATTTATTCAGCGTACCCATTAAATTCACTGGACATTAAACTAAAATTTGCATAAAAGTGTCAACAAAGTAATAGAATTATAATTTATCGCGGTGTGTATCAAAGAAGCATTTCCTGATTGCAATTTGATATATAGTTCTGCACGGTAAAAAAAAATAAGGGAAATGGTTTTATTTCTTCGGATAGGAGCGTTTTGTTTACACGTGAGACCCTGCATGTAGAATGTAATAAATTCCCTGTAGTGAAAAAAATGAAAGTGTTTTATTGATGAAGTGTTGATAGCACGTGCGGTTTAACACGTGAATTATTTAGTTTCAACTTGAAACCTAGCACCACACACATGGTGAATACCTGTACACAGCCCACTACTGTATCGATTACAGGACAACTAACCTATCTTTACGTCATCGTGAAAAAAAACCGATTGATTTAGTTCGTGGGCATGGAACATAATGAATTAATTACTAAAAAAACACATATTTTAATCATGTACTAATAACACATTTAAAAATAAGATTAAAACTTATATCAGAAAATTCAATTCAGAAAAACTGAGCTAATGACGTGACTGTGTTGTACAAAGGGTTGGTAGTGGAGAGGAGTTTAGAGTATGAGGGAAAAGGCAGAAGAACGGTATATCAGGAATAAAATAGATTTTATCTATAAATTAGGTCATAAATTCGATAATTAAAGTGCTAAATCAATTAACTATAACGAAATACCACACGGAGGAAAATAGCGCCGATCGACAGGCACGCGTCCATTGAAGATAACAGAAGTTTCAGGGTATTGATTAAAACACAAAATATAACACCATGATCATGTTCAGTCATAAAGCTATCGTTTGTACATAGGAAAATTCTCTACGTTCTCCCATTGTTTTAGGTGTATGTGATAGTTTGTACATGATCGTTTCAAAATCATTTTTATAATGGACCATTTTTTTTATATTTTACTTATATTCAATTTTAATTGTTTTAAAAATTCTAATCAATAAAGTGATTTTAAATAATAGATTATTTGTTACTAACTGGAGGTTGTGTAATATAGAAAAAACAATCCACATTTTATACCAAGAACTAACCCTTGACCAATGAGAAAAGTCTCTTGGGTATGGAACATTGTCATTGGTCTAGACGCATTAATTATTCTCTTATCTGATTGGATATGGCTACCGTCACGGTGTATCACTGGGCGAGATATGTGAAATGTCACTTTCCTTCGAGCTGACAGACTCAAAATCCTGATATATCTAAACAATGACCTTCCATGACATAGTTCGTCCTTATTAATGAAACCATAATTAAGTTGAACGGATATTTCTTCATTAGCCAATTAAATGAATCGATACAGAGTCGCCAACAAAAGCATTTCTTGATGTCAGTACACGATAAGCATTTTAGCACATTTTATATTTTTGTATTACTCCAAGTTAGTACCTTCATATAACCGAATATAAATCATATAAGCCCATGAACTATGTTTCAGCTTTAATAAATTTATCTATCATTTCTTGCGTATATCACTACAATAACACGAGTTTGCTATTCCGTTTCAATACAGTATTCCGGAATGGAGTCACATTCCCTCCGTCTCCGGTCTTTAGTCTAGACGCCGTTTTTTTCATTTTTTCTCTCCATTGACACTTATCAAGACTCCCCATGGCCCATCTTAAGTGTTAGGCATCTACTACACAGGCTACCGATATATCAATCACACAAAAACATGTTTATAGTCCAAGTGAAGTAAATAGTACCGATAGGGGGCTGGTCATTTCACCAGAATTTCATATTCTGACATCAGTTCTTAATGAGATTTGGGTCTCAGTTTAAACCCGACACATACCGGGCGCACAGTGTTGAGTGCGGTTATGGCTAACACTAGTCTTCCTGCCTATGTCACAGTTCTTAGGCAAGTTTACAGCGTAGATTGATAGGATTTTTCTTTACTTTGTAACAACAGACGGAAGCATCCACGCGGGAAATGATTGTCTGGCATTCCAACACTAATTCCAGAAATACATCCACGCGATTTTCAGTAAGATTTGTTCTAATGTCCGAAAACATTAGAAGACAAATCATGCTTCCAATTAAGAAAAATGACTTTTTAGTGTTGTCATGATTTTGGCAATTTTATAAGAAATTCTGCTCTAAATGAGGTCATTATTATCAAGTGGACGAATCGATTTTCATATTCCTGTACGTTTTTTCCTTATTCATATTTTACTTTCCATTGGTGGTAAAATATATCTACGGTTAAATTCCATACTGTCACAAAGTTTCTGAACGATTTTAATGTTTTCACACCTGTGAATTTCACATATAATCGATTTTTAACATTAGTGTTAGAATTCAAATGTAACATATGCTAGCTGAGCAATCTCGGACACAAGAAAAAAACGTTACATAACATATCTATCAAAGTAATATATAAAAACCTATTTGATATATAAGTTGAAAGTAAACATTATATGAGCGCCACTTTGACAAAACTTTAAAGCATTCACCATTATCTATATAGAAGACGACGCCTTTTCATATTTTTTTCTATTGCTATTTTTACTATTAAACAGATACTCAAATATAGAAAATTTGTATTGAAATACATTCTGTATGATATGCAAATATATGGATTACAATAATGTATACGTATGTAAATATATGAGTGCGGTATGCTCTGTGCTCACTCGCACGCACCAATAATTTAACAATGCTTTTATCGCGGAGTCTCAAACTACGTTTGTGATCTCGTAAATCAAAACGCGGTAGAGATTGTTGTCTTTATCTCCTAGTTGTCCTATGATGTATCGATTCCATTTATTTTCACGTGTATATAACCTTCTTTAATATTGATATATGGTTTATATAGCCATCCAAATCAACGTAAACGGAAGTGCCCCTGTAACAGCCGCGCACTCCGCGCAATACATACTCAGGGTTTGATGTATGAATTTATAGTTTATTTCATATTTTAAATTAGATATACTTCGAGGTGATAAATAATAATTAACTATATTTCAAATGCATTTCTTTTATAAATGTTACCTGTAATTATACATAATTCGCCGGATGTTTTTAGCAACCGGAAATATGACCGGACAAGAGATATTCTGTCCTTGACTTAAAGAATTTTAGCGGATTTTTTTTAATAATTATCATTATCATTACTTTTTATTTCCAGACAAACTAAATCCAAATATAACTGCCTGTAGACTGAGAGTAGACACTGAAACATTGATTAAATACCTTTCTGAATCGGATTGAGGGAGATTGTTTGGTGCTGGGATATATATCATCTTAGTTGCATTTGGAACATGTCCAAAATCAAATATCCGAACGAGAATTTAAAAAAAGGTCATGTATTTCTTTAAGAATATGTTAAATACTTCAAAATCTATTTTTAGTTGCTAAAATCCTGAATATATCAACACCGATATTGACATTAAAATATATCTTTGGTAATCTGATGGGGAAATTCATATTGAGGTGCAATATTTCCCCTGTACATGCGTATTAAGCTGTCCCTGCTTTGTTTTACCGACCATGGATATTTCCTATTGCTTCTGTAATTTGCCAACCTGTGTGCTCATGCTGGCCCATTTAAAAGTAGGAGCATTTCTGTATGAATGCTAATCTAACTCAAGGTACGAGAAGTGATTTTATGTAATAAAAGAAAAATCTATTGACCTTGATATAAAGGATAAACGGGGTGCTATTGAGACTGAAGTGTACTGAACTACGGCTGAAGACGTTTTAATAAGTATAGAACATACAGTCTGCAGAACAGTCCTCTTAAATGTATAGGCAATAGTAAAAATCCCCACTCCATGACACATGTGCATGTTCGAAGTTCCCCAGACGTGGCCTCTGGTGGTCTCTGGGGAACGCCATCCCCTTGCACCATCAGAGCGTGCTACCAGTTAGGGTTGCTGCCTTGCCCTTTTAGTCAGCGC